ACACACAGACTGTGAGTAAATCCTCGAATACCTTCAAGTGCCAATCTATCCGGCTTGCGTAAATTGCCATGGATAATCTGACGACATTCCAAACGAGGACCTACCTATATATGCGACCAGTTTCAGCGCTATGGTCAGCTGATGCTGAACTTGTTCTACGAAATTGAAAGTGCTCGAGTACCTAATACCAAGGTCTCTAACGATATTCTCAGGAATTATTGACGGAGATTTATCCAAGTTCAATGTAAGACGATTCGGAGGGAGGGTGAATTGGTGCGTGACAACGCCGCATTTATCCACCGAAAATGTCATTTGTCAAACTTATTTAGATCTTGCTGAATCTTGGTCAAAGCAAGCTGAAGTGCATTTGGGTGGAATTTTCAAATGAAATTGATGTCCGCAAAAAAGAAAAAAAACAACCAGGCGCAAACACATCGCATGCACCATTCACCTCTAAAGGAAACAATAGTGGGTTTAGAGCACTTCCTTGTATAATACCACTAGTAACATATTGGGGGAAAGGAATGCAATCATCTGACAAATAAGATGAAAACCATGAAACGAATGGATCTACGATGGATAACGACTCCAGTTTAGGGAGCAACCGGTTGCAATACGCACGGGCAAACACCCTTTGTATATCCAGAAGGATGAATACGATGGAAACCAAAGTCAGCGGCGGACATGTAGTTATAGTACTTCAAATGACATGTGTGAGAAGGAAAGATTAGAAAACTGCGTTCTTGTTGCTGCTGCTTGAAAGCAGGAAATTAAGTATCACCTCTTTAAGTATTTGCTCCATGATCATATAAACCGTTGGGGTATGGCTACTGGAGCGGTTGTTAGTAATGTTACACAGCGAGCAATTTCGTCTCGATCTAACGATTGACTTTTTCCAATGAATCGGAAAGGTATTCGAAGACATTGACGAGGAAGCCTAGAAGCAGAAACGGAATATCAAAGCCACTAAAATTAGTTGAGACGAAACGAAGGCCATCCGGGCCGCAATGGGTGGGCGGTTTGATCCTGCAAAGAAGGCACAGGATCTTATCCGGTGTAAACTGTACGTAAAAAAGAGTAGTGACTGCTTTATACTCAAGGGTTTTTGTGGAATAGGCAACGGATCATGAGTTAGGGATTTCAGGGAGCTAGAGCTAATTATTTCGCAGTGCACCCTTGTGTCGCTCAAACAGATGTCAGTTATCATCATAGTCGAAGGACCTCAGCTGATTGCCTTTATTTTTCCTGTTCAACAGTCCCCTTAATGCAGATTAATGGAAGTTTTCCGCTCAGCTGGACATGGACTTGTCGACAAGGCGATAGCGACTTTTTGCGATTGTGCGTGTCGAAACCAGAAGGCAAACGTCTGTCAACACGAAGTGGAGTAAGAATTGTGTGATTACAAGGAGGAGACAGAAGCGAAGTCGGAAAGGAATTCTAAATGAAAAGTCTAAGAGTAAAATGGTGGGAAAACCTGAGCAGCAGAATCCCCATTCTTATCCACTCTGTCTGATGCCGTTGATCATTCTTTGCGATAGCAAAATAAATAAAATAAATATAAATATATTTACCGACAGACGCTATTGTCAAAGAATCATTTGAAGGGTTAATCATTGTATTATACAGTCACGAACACCATTATTGACGTTTCGGCAAATACCATCACCTTACACCTGTCTCTTGTACTATAGATATTGCTCCCAGACGACTTTTTGGAATCCCTAGAACATCAACTATCCGTAATCACATGTACCGACGAATCACTCCTGCCACTTGTGTTCCGTTGGCCAGAACGTAGATTACGCATTTGTCTAGTTGATTCGGCACAAAGCCAGCCAAAGAACTCGCCAACACTGCCAAGCCATCATTCGTTACTTCCGAAATCTGCCGCACTAAACCCTCCAGATTCGTTACGTGACCGAAGTGAACAGGCTTCAGTGCCAAATGGGTTCGGGACACACTGTCTTTTGCCTTCCTCTAAGGCGCCTACTTCTAGATCAGCCAATTTCGTTTCTGTTCCCGAACATCCGGCTTCTGCGTCCCTTTTCCCTTACTTCTCCCCAGGATATATTCCCACTCCGGCCATGTTGAATGCGTTGTTCAGTATGGCACCTGGTTCACATCCTCCCGATTTCAATCCTTGCCAAGATCCTGATAAGAACCCTTTAGGGTTTCACAACACTGCTTCCCATTCAGGTAATTCTACCAGTACTTTTAGAGGTGATAATCATTACGCGCCGAGAGAAAGTGGAGCCTCTCAATATCCGCCTTGTGATGCTGTCACGTATTGGACGCAACTGTTCGCAATGTTCATGCAACCGAGAAGCGCCACGAACACGATCACAAGCACTCCACTGTCTTTGCTGCCTACAAGCACCTTTAACCCAGCAATGTATCAGCAAGGCTTACCACTTTCCATCGCTCCAACTAATTCTGACTTCATTCCTTCAACGGCTCAGCCAAGCATCCACCCCGTTAGTTGCACACTGGCCCGAAATTGTTAGCTGGCCCTATCGAATCCTCTTGTTGCTGCTCTCTGCGCCATCGTCAAAAGGCTACAGGTTGTTCTGCGGCGTTTCTCATTTTGCCCCACATTTTAAGCGCCATGTTACGATGACTCGTCTCTGCCACCGCTTATCACCGTTCAACAATAGAGAGCACTCCTTTTGTTCGTCCACTGTCAATCATGCATCACTTGTTCGTCACATCACATATAGGATTTTTGTTCATCCCTTTAACAACGGTATATCCCCTTTCGCCGCTAGAATTTGTCGTCATACTTTTTATTTCGTGTTTATTTAACAGTGGAACCAATTATCCTCCCCGTTTGCAAGCATAGGACCATCAGACGTATGTGCAGGGAAGCTAACAGTGTTTACATACGCTGGTTAATTTTTTTCTGCCCAGCGCTCCTGTGGTGCCAAGTGCATGTCGCACCTACTAATCACACTATTCGGTGTTCACACTTTCCGATTTATATTCTCTGTCCTTGATTTGTGACAATGATATCCGCCGCATACATTTCTTCCTAAAAACCTTACACTGCTCTCACGCAACGAACAGTTCTGTATTGAAATTTCTATTAACTTCGCTTAAACCAATGAGCTATTTTTGTTCCACAGGCTTTAAAAATAATCATACTCGAGATACGAGGAAAATCTGTCAAGACTAGTCGCATTTTTGACACGCGCTATCAATATCGGCATTGCGGCGTAGATCATTCGACGCGCATCACTGAGTCATTTTCACGCCAAGAAATTTAGATCAGGGTTAAAATAACTAGCGTCGACACCCCAAAAATCTGTACTCATCGACCGCTTTCAACTCTTCTTGAGCACGTCGGAAATAGCCGAAACTGGAAATAGAACCAAGGACACCGTGTTTTTGTGGCAACGTTTTTATCAGCAGGGCACCGAGAGAAACGCTTAATGCAGTTCAACTTTAGCTTTAGAGTACAACACTTTTAAACGGTAGTCGCGGTTCGCACATTTAAAGTAATTTCTCCAGCTCATCCTCAACTATAGGCCGCCCGCCTTGTAATCCGGAGGTCACCAATTCGAACCCGCGACTTCACGGTACGCCAAGGCCACGCTCGACTGGTGGTGGTCGCGTGGCACCAAGGCGTCAGTATGGTATGTTAACGTAGTGCTGACGCCCTCAATTATAGACCACATCATGGACATGTGCGGTCAACGCAGTCCAGTGCGTGGTTCAAATCGTGGTTGACGGGCAGTTCAGTTGTCCCTCTGCTTCTGGACCTCTTCCTTATTCAGGTGTTGCAGGCTGAGCCATGGCCAGTTAGTTTCGAGACTCGGTCAGAGGCTGAGGTCCGAAACCTAACCGCAGCCCTCAATCGTTTTCGTGCTGCTGGTCTGGATTCCTTCCCACCTGCACTATTTAAGGATGGTGGTGAGGTCCTCTACAGTGCACTGAACTTCCTGTTCGACAATATCTGGAAGGAAGATACCGTCCCGGCTGACTGAAGTGAATCGATTATACGAGAAGGGCAATCGCACCGACTGTGCTGACCACAGGGGTATTAGCCTAACGCCAGTTGTGACAAAATTACTGGCCTCAGTTCTCGTTCGTCGTCTTACTGTGGGACGAGAATCACGGATTAAGGAAGATCAGGCAAGCTTCCGCCCTCGATGGGCTTTATAATTTATATATTCACTCTGCGGCAGGTGCTAGAGCAGCGCCGCACGTACCCCATGCCGACAATAATTGTGTACCTCGAATTTAACAGTGCGTTCGACTTAGTCGACCGATACATTCTGTACAAAATACTTGCGCGAGGTGTTGCCATGAAATATGCGGACATTTTGATTGCTCTATACCCGAACACTACAGGCCGCGTCAGGGTCTAAGGTGACCTGTCGGATAACTTTCCGACAACAACTGGCGTTCATCAGGGTTGTCCAATTTCGTCGTGGACTGCATTATGATTCTCACGATGCAGACATTAAAGGGCCTGGTGAAAGGCTGGTTGACCTTGATTATACGGACGATATCGTCTTGCTTTTCGGCGATATTGCGGCGACACAATCAACCCTGAATTGCCTGTCTAGAGTGGTCCCATTATTTGATATGCACTTCGCACCTTCAAAGTGCAAAGTGTTCCTGTAGGACCACCAGCCACTTTACGATCCCTTGACCCTTGCTAACGAGGAACTCGTGTTTGATCAATTCACTTACCTTGGCAGCTGTATCAGCAATGATGGGCGCATGACAGCTGAGGTCAGTTCACGTATTGCAAAAGCCAGAACTGCTTTCTTGTATCTGAGACTTGTTGCTACAGGATTTTCCCTCCGTCTGAAAGGCCGTGTGTACAAGGCCACAATGAGTGTCGTTTTACTCTATGGAAGCGAGACTTGGACCCTTCAGTTTGTGGACCTGAGGCGACTTCAAGTCTGCGTGTTTGCTGCCGTCTCATAAACGGATTGTCTGTTTAAATTGTGTATGGTGCTAAGTTATCTGCGGGGTAATGGCTGATTACGAGGCGGGGCAGTGAAAGCCGCAAGGAAGTTGTCTCGCCGATGCCGCCTTTGCACGATAGCCAACTGTTTGTGATGGTATGTTGTTGACAAGATGTAGGCGCCTTAGGACATTAAGGTTTTACGGTAGGTCCCCCTTCTCTCCCGACACTTCGTTCCGTAGTTCGCCGTTTGTACGGCAGCGAAGCATCAGTTCATGGCTGATGTACTGCTGTGGATGATGATGGAAGAACATGGGAACCTCTTTCTACCTCTTGCCAGCATCAGCAAGTGAATGTATGAGCGATTTGGAGGTAGTGGACAACGGGGTCAATGTCTCGATGGTTTTAACGTACCTCCCTTTGTGTGTGACAACCTACAACTATGGAGAGACGTCGTCGGCTACCGGTATCCTGTTCTACATAAACAGCACCGGTTTCAGTTGAATCTCTAAAGGTGGAAAGCCATACGCGAAAGTCCGATGTTGGTTCGGGTGATCCGGAAAATGATAAGTACACGCTACTTCCCAGAATGTTCCGCGATCAGTCGCCTCGTTGAGATAACACTAGATATGGAATAAATAGGTAACCTATTGCGTGTATCCAGTTTTGAAACATGCTCTGTATATCTGTGTTTGGATTGAGATGTAGCCCAAATGTGGACCACGATTTGCTTTGCGGTAAAATTCGTTCTTTCTGGTGGTGAGGTCAATATGATCGAGCTTTAAAGCGAATTGTGGCCCAAAATGACATTACGTGTCGTCATCCGAGTTGCAAATGCGGATCCCTAGTCACTGGGTCAATCGGTGCTCGCGGGGTTCCTTGCCGAATAATCAGCCTGAAATTCACCACTTTCTAGGTTTGCACTCTAACGATAGCTGTTCCTGCCTGACAAGTAATAGCCGGTACGCAGCTTCCGGAACAAGCAACACGGGAGATGAACCTGTTATCCATACATTCCCCACCTCAGTTCCACAAGGAGTTTCAGGGTACCTCATCCCGGAGCGAGAAAGTTATGTGAGTGCGTGCGAATTGCTGTCAATGCCGCCCTCCTTCATTTGAAATCTGTTAAGCACTCTAGATGGTTCATTAGTGTCGTCGGCTCCACACCTTATCCGCTCCCGTGTACGCAGCAAACAAGTGCCGTATTAAGGAGAGTGATGCACCGGTCACAGCATAGCGCAGCGACCTGGTGGGCGCAGCAGGAGGCTTTGCTATTTCGAGTGGCACTATTGTTAGAACTGGGATTGAGATAATTATGGTAAACAAAGTCCAGACTGGCAATCGACCTCTGCAAAACACTGACCTCCCTGTCCGGACAGGTCTGGAAAGAACAGGCCATCGTAGCTAATCGATTGCAGTCACATTATCTAAGAAGTGCAGTCACACCGACTGTGCTAACGACAGCGTAATGAGCCTAACGTCGGTGGTGACAAAGTTACCAGCCTTAATTCTCGTTTGTCGCCTTACTGCGGAACGGGAATCCCGGATTAGGGAAAAGCAAACAGGCTTCAGTCCAGGACGAGACGGTAAATACCATGTATTCACTGCGTCAGGTGCTAGAGCAGCCCCACACGTATCGCAGGCCGACAATAGCTGTATACCTGGAATTCGAGAGTGTGTTCAACTCTCCGGATTGCTCCGTCTTGTTCGAAGGGTGTTTCCACGAAACATGTGAATATTTTAAGTGTCATGTACTCCAACACTACAGGCTGCGTCCTGGTCTACGATGATTTTTCGTATGTCTTTCCGACAACAAATGGCGTTCGTCAGTGTTGCCCAATTTTCCCATTTTTGGTCAACTTCGTCGTGGACTCCATCATGGGGTGTTCCCTTGCGGTATCTCACAATGCAGGCGTTTCGGTGCTGTCTGGTGATAAGGTAGTTGGTCTTCCTTATGCAGACGATACCGTCTTGTTGTTTAGCAATGGTGCAGTCATCCCTGAATAAACTCCCGAGTGGTCATATCATTTGGTATGCACTTCGCACCTTCAAAATGCAAGGTGTTGCTGCAGGACCACCAGCCACTTGATAACCCCCTGGCTCTTGACAACAAAGAACCCGAGGTAGCTGATCAATTCACTTACCTTGGCAGACGCATCAGCAACGACGGGCGCATAACTGAAATTATTACATGTATTGTAAAAGGTTGAACTGCCTTCTTGAGCCTGCGGCATCTGTGGCCTCAGAAATGGAGTTCTCTTAGTCTGAAAGGCCATATTCACAAGGCCACAGTGTGGGATATCCCACTCTATGGGAGTGAGAATTGATCCCTTCGATTTGAGGCGCCTTCAAGTCTTTGATCATCGTTGTCTACAAAGCATTGCTGGTGTCCGATGGGACCAGTGTATCCGCAACGATGATTTTCCCAAGTGAGTGCTAGGCAGTGATAATCAGTTCACTTCAATAGAACGGTAGATAGCACTTAATAAGTCGCTTTGGCTCAAACATTTGGTACGTATACCCAGTCACCACTTACCGAGTGGAGCTTTGTTTTCTGTACTAGAAGTAAGGTGGCACAGTGCTCGAATTGGTCAAAAGTTAACTTGGCAGCGGGAAATGAATTTACTGACGACTAAACTGGGTGCTGTTAGTCTGTCCCGGCTCCTGAGCTGGAGTCTGCGCGACACGTCTTGTGCTTGGCTCAAGACGTTACAGGACATAACTGGCAATCGGCACCAGTGGTGGCGTCTTCTGTCGTCTCCTAGTCGGACTGCTTGTTTAAAGTGTGTTTGATGCTGAGTTATCTGCGGAGTAATGGCTGACTATGAAAGCCGCAACGAAGCTGTCTCGCTGATGCCGCCTTATCCTTGCATGATTGCCAGTTATTTGTGGTCGTATGTCGTTCCGTAAGTCACGGTTGTTGTACGGCAGCGGAGCATCGGCTCAAATGGTTAATGTATTGCTGTTAATGTACCTGACATAAATGCTATACAAAAGAAGCGAGAGTATCACTCCGGTGGTGCTCTGAATAGAGATCTAGCCGAACACAAGGGAATATCGAGACATCTCGGTAACTAGAGACACGCGGAATATTGCCCCTTCACGACTATATGGGGACATTACAAAAGCGCTTCACGACCGAACTCACTTCGCAACTATCGGCGCGGGTAGATTACAACTACTAAGGGATGTTATGGGAAGTATTTGTAAGTAGTGGGGGAATTTATTGAGTTTTTAT